ATTATTTATGATTTAAAGATATTTATATATTATTGTAATAGTGAAAAAAATATAAAACATCTATTGATAAATATAAAGTGGAAATTTGGTTATAAAAATATATAAAAGTAAATGAAGAGGGATGACTAAGAAAGAATAATAGAGAGGGGAGGATAAGGAGTGAAAGAATAATAACAAATAAGTCATAAATATCTAAAGGAAAAGTGATGGTAAATATAGTTTAAAATGATAAATATAGTGAGAATATATTTTAAAATGATGAATATAGTGAGAAAATATGCAATGGTAAGTTAAGAGATGATGTCACAAGAAAAAATCATAAGGTGGATAAAGGTATGAAAGCAAAAAAACAAATACTAATTGTTGGGAATGGGCCCAACATTTAACTTGGGCCATGTACAACAGGTCCAGTCATTTATCCATGAGCCCAAAATGAAGATGCATCCATGCACTAGCCTAGACATACCCATGTGGGTGCTTATACGTGGACCAATCGGATGCTTACATGTATGAACCAATGTCATCACTTGGGGGCTATAAATACCCCCATCTACCTCCACTCAAGGTAATAACTCCACTATACTTCTCTCTCTACAATTACTTTTAAGAGCTTTTCTCTTTAGAAGATTGAGTATTGCTTATTTGAGCGTTGGAGTGTTTTCCCCGAGGAAACATTCTTGGGTTTTTCAGGTGTTAAAGCAGTTGAAGATTTCTACAGTGTAGGTTCGTGAAGCTACCCAAACATTTTGGCGCCATCTATGGAAATGAGCAAAGAAGCAGTGTTGCTAGTGTTGAAGCTAAACATGGTGCACACTTTTATTGGGAACCGTGCCCCTCAGAGGAATGGGATGGATGATTAGGATGACATCTAGCTTTCAGAGCTAGGCTTGAGCAACTTTCGGCTAATGCTGAGAAACCTTTTTGTACAAGGAGCAAAAGGAGAACACTTAAGTGGTTTAGATGATGAAAGAACACCAACTGGGTATGCAACCTAGCCTGAGGAACAGTTCCAGATTCCAACGGAAGTGAGGCAGAGGCACCCTTTACATAACACCTTGCGTCGTGAAGGACCCATGGAGTCTGCTCGGACGTCTAAGCTGGAAGAAAGAACTAGGGTCTTAGAAATGGCCATGGGAAGAATCCTATCCCATCTAATCCCAGATGACCCCCTGATTCCTCTGTTGAATAGGGGTGATCAACTTGTTGAAATTGCAACCTGCAATTCCTCAGCCCTGAGCAATGTAGTAGTACCTACCAAGCCAAGGGGAAGTGGGAAGTCAAACCTCGAGCCCAGCTCATCAAAGCACAATGACGAGTTGATGAGGAAGGATGTAGACCTTGAAAGACAGCTTAAAGACATACAGAAATCTATTGACGAGCTGAGAAGTCTAAGGTCGCGCCAACAGGCTCTGGATTTAGATAGCGCCTCTCTCAACTTGTCCATTACAACAAAACCATATCAAGAAGGATTCAAGATCCCCCACTTGGAAACCTATGATGGCTCTAGTGACTCAGATGAACACTTACATACCTATCAGGCCATCATGAAAATCCAGAACGTAACTGATGCTATGATGTGCAAAGTGTTCCTTACAACTTTGAAGTCGACCGTCAGAAGATGGTATCACAAGCTTCCCAGGCATTCGATCACTTCTTATCCTCAGCTTGCTACTTTGTTCTCTAACAAGTTTGTAAGCGAGCGAGAAATAAAACGCACCGCTACCAAGTTGATGCAAGTTCACCAAAAGGAAGGAGAGTCCTTAAGTGACTACATGCAGCGATTCAACAAGGCCACCTTAGACATTGACAATGTCCTTGACACCATCTGCTTGTCTGCTTTGTTGCACGGCCTCAAGCTTGGTAGATTCTTGGACGACCTGTTGGAAAATCCACCAAAGTCGTGGAATGAAGTGAATGACAAGTTCGCAAGCTCCATCTTATTGGAAGACTTTCAGTCATCCAAACGGTGAGCTGACGATAAGCAAAACAAAGACCACGAACAACCAAAAGGAAGGGAGGAGAAGAAAAAGTAGAAGGTTGTTGATCACAAAGGAAAACCACCTAGTTTTCCAAAATATGCAAATTACATCCCACTAAGCTCGTCGAGGTCTCAAGTCTTGGCATAGATTCAGCATTGGATTAAAAGGCCACCCTCTATTCTTCATGACTCACCTTGAGTAGACAGGAGTAAATATTGTGATTATCATCGTGGGTATAACCACAGTACAGATGACTGTTAAAGTTTACAAGATGAGTTGGAATTTTTAGCTCGCAATGGAAAACTGGAAGAACATATCTAGAAATCCTACACCCAGCAACCTAGCCAAACCCACTATGTACATGATTACAGTCGACCTCATGGGCAGGTGTACCAAGTTGGCAACAATTATAACCTGTACCCAGGGAATCAATACTCTTTTGAGCCTGATAAATTATATAGAGGACATCAATCCAATAAACGAGGATAGGGGCAAAGGACCACAGCCCAAAACCAAAAGGATAATGGGGGGTAGGTTACACCGGAATACCTCCACCCTCAGGCACGATAAACATGATTGTTGGTGACATGCATTTAGGAGGCCAGAGCGCCCGAGGTCGTAAAGTCTATGCTCACCAGGTAATGATTGTGAACAAGAATAGGCCCCTAAAACGATCGTTTGAGGAAGTAGAATGATAAAACATGCCCATTACGTTTAGTCCTACTGATTACAAACGACCAGAGGGAGAATTTGATGTTATGATGCCTCACGCTGACCCCTTCATGGCAATAGTCCACATAGGTAATCATAATGTTAATAAGGTCTTCATCGATATGAGCAGCTCTCTAGACATCTTATATTGGAGCTACTTCCAAAAGATGCAGCTAAACTCAGCTTCTTTGAAGAAATATGAAGGGCCAATATATGGATTTGACAATCAGCCCGTTTTTGTTGAAGGGGTAATCACTCTTCCCATTTATATGGGTACTGGACCATGGTTCAGGATGGCTTCAGTGAGTTTCTTAGTAGTCAAAATGGAATCAACTTTGATGTTATAATAGGGAGAGCCACCCTTTGTGAATTAAAGGCTGTCATTTCCCAACCACATCTTTATATGAAATTCCCAACTCTTCAGGGGATAGGAGTACTCAAGGGAAACCAAAAAATAGCTAGAGCGTGCTACCAAGATACATTCAAGAAAGTTGAACTTGCCGCGGTGCCAAAGGCTTCTCCCTCTCAGGTTCTCAAGCTAGCCAACCAGCCAGGGTTGTAAACAATGAGCATATCTAACATAGATCACTGACTAGAGAATGTAGAGCACAAGGCGGAGCCAATAGAACCGGTGGAGACCATTCCTTTAAACCCTGATGAATTGAAAAAAACAGTGAAAATTAAAACCAAACTCACAGTGGAAGAGAGAACCGAGCTGTTGGAATTTTTGAAGTCCAACCAAGATGTTTTTATGTGGACAACAGATGAAATGCTCGGGATTCCAACAGAATTTGCAGTCCACAAGCTTAGTACAGACCCCACAAGAAAGCTAGTGGTTCAAAAATGTCGCCTTTTGGGCCTTGATAAGCAAGCCGCTATAGATGAAGAAATACATAAGGTATTATAGGCAGGTTTCATCACGTGGGTTAAATATTCGCAGTGGGTGTCTAACCTTGTGCTCATCAAAAAGCCTAACAGCAAGTAGAGAATGTGCATTGACTTCACGAACTTGAATGAGGTGTGTCCTAAAGACCCACACCCTTTGCTTAATGTTGAGAAATTAGTTGAGTGTGTAGCTGGTCATGAGCACATGAGCTTTCTAGATTCTAGTTCGAGATACCATCAAGTTCAACTATGTTTGGATGACCAGGAGAAAATGATATTATATGCGAGAGATGCTATATACTGCTACATCATGATGTCGTTTGGATTGAAAAATGCAGGGGTCACATGTCAAAAATTAGTTCAGGTTGTTTTCAAGCTTCAGATCGGTAGAAATATTGAAGTGTATGTTGATGACATGATTGTCATCAGTTTACGAGCTCAAGATCATGTTAATGACCTCCATGAAACATTTTAGAACCTACATTGAGCACAGATGAAGTTAAACTCCTTGAAGTGTACATTTGCTGTGGAATTAGGCAAATGTTTGAGATATGTGGTATCCAAGAAAGGAATTGAGGTGAATCCAGACAAGGTTCAGGCTGTGTAGTAGATGGAACCTCCTAAAACAGTAAAAGATGTGCAACATCTAACAAGTCGTCTCACTGCTTTGCACAGATTCATCGCTAGGTCGAACAGAAAAATGCCTACCATTTTTTAAAGCTTTTAGAGAGCCCAAAAACTTCAACTTGACTAACGAATGTCAATAAGCTTTTTATGACCTCAAACAATACCTAGCATCGCCACCCTTACTCTTGAGACTTGTTGAAGGAAAAAAGCTGTATTTGTACTTGGGAATTACAGATGAGGCAGTAAGCTCGGTTCTGTTAAGGGAATAAGATAAACACCAGAAACCCATCTGTTATACAAGCAAGGTCCTACAGGCTACAGAAAGGAACTACCCAATGCTGAAAAAGCTACTTTTGCTCTTGTTTGCATTGCCCGAAAGCTAAGGGCCTACTTTCAATCTCACGAGATTATTGTTTTCACCAACCTACCACTGAGGAAGATATCATAGAAACCTGAACTTTCTGGTTGGCTAATCGGATGGGTAGTCAAGCTAAGTGAGTGCGACCTCAAATGTGAACCATGTACAATAATAAAGGGTCAAGCCTTGGCAGATTTCCTACTGAAATGCCACCCAGTGGCTGTTGAAGGAATTACAGCCTCACACCCTGTATGGGCATTGTACGTAGATGGGGCCGCAAGTGTCTAGGGATTAGGGGCAAGAGTAGTGTTGATAGGTCCATATGGCTTTAAAATTGAGCATGCTTTAAGATTCAAATTTCAGGCAACTAGTAACGTTGCTGAATATGAAGCACTTATTTCTGGTTTAAAGGTTACATCAGAGTTGAAAGCACGAAGCATAAGAGTCTTTAGTGACTCCTAACTCGTTATAAATCAAGTGAATGGGAGCTGTGATATCAAAGATCCTCAGCTCGGTCGTTATGCCTTTGTGGTCAACAGGTTGAAATCAAGTTTTGTTTCGTTTTAGATTGACAAGATACTAAGGGCAAACAACAAGTGGGCTAATGAATTGTCAAAATTAGCTTTGTCATAAGGTATCAATTCCAAAGGACAACATTCATTGAGATACTTGATGCACCGAGCTATGTCGACCCTGCAATTGAATGCTAAGCATTAAGCACAGATCCCTCATCATCGAGCTGGACCACACCCTTAATTAATTATTTACGAGATGGTGAATTGCCTGAGAACCCGTCTAATGCTCGACTGATCAGGCATAGGGTAGCTGATTTCACCTTGATCGATGATCAGTTATATAAACAAGCAGCGTCAATGCCTCTATTCCGTTGGCTAACTCCTTATGAAGCTGAGTATACTATAAGAGAAGTTCATGAAGGAGTGTGTGGCACACACATAGGTGGAAAAATATTAGCTCGGAAACTTCTAAGGCATGGATATTACTGGCCTACTATGGTTGACGATGCACAAAACTATGTCAAGAAGTGTCCAACCTGCCAGTTCAACGCTAACGACATTCACATGCCAGGTACTTGAGCTCGTTTTGAAATTTACCCAAACTTCATGTTTGTATCTAAGCTAAACATGCATATCTCCTTTGATACAAGAGAGATACTATCATCTTTCACATTTCCTTGGCTTTTTGCTCAATGGGGAGTCTATTTGCTTCGTCCATTCGTTAAAGGCAAATGAGGCTGCACATATCTCATCATTGCTATGGATTACATTACCAAATGGATAGACGCTAAACCATTGTCCACAACAACTGAAAAGAAGATAGAAGAGTACCTATTCAATTCCATATTATGCAGGTACTCTTCAATAGCTTAAGCCATTTATACATTACATGCACACATAATTCGTGGCTTAGCCAAGTTGTTTGTGTGCAGGTTTGGTATTCTTAAATGAATCATTACTGATAACGATCCTCAGTTTTGAGCTGTAGCGCTTATGTCATTCAATGATGATTATGACATTGAGCTTGCTTTTATATCTGTTTACACTCCATAGTAAAATGGACAAGCAGAGTCAACTAATAAAATTGTCTTACATGGCTTTAAGGCACGTGTCCTAGCCACGCACTCTAATTGGGTTGACGAGCTCAACAAAGTGCTTTGGTCATACCGTACTATGCCTAACTCGGCCACTGGAGAGACCCTATTCTCCCTAGTCTACGGAGCTGAGGCCGTAATCCTTGTGGAAATCGGCTTGTCGCCTAACAAGCCAGCTTGGTGTAATGATTCTAATAGCGAGCAACTCCTAAGAGAAAGCCTTAACCTTGTGAAGGAGGTTAAGAAGAGATCTCGGGTGAAAAACATGGCTTATAAAGGTCGTGTTGCTTGATTTTACAATAAACGAGTGCGTGCTTGTCAATTTCAAGTCGGCGACCTAGTTTTACGCAAAGCTGGGCTCACTAATGCTTATTCATACATGGGCAAGCTCGCTCTTAACTAGGAGGGACCTTACATAGTTATTCATATTTAACGACTTAGGTCTTATTTGTTAATAGATCCACAAGGTCGTCAATTACCATTCACTTGGAATATACATAACTTCAGGAAATATTACAGCTAGTTTATGTTGTAATCTAACATATTCAAAAAATGTAAAGTGTATGCAAAAATGTAAAGTTTATGTTGGACAATGATAAAATCGTTCAAAAAGGTCAACTGACCAACATAAAAAATACAAAAGAAAACTGTAAACCTAACAACTAATCATCCGTCAAATCTACGGAGACGGGCGCATCAGCTTGAGCAGGAGAAAAATGAGCTGGAACATCAGTGGGCTGGGAAGTTGGTGGAGTGCTAGAAGGCTCAGATTCTGCCTCGGGCCCTTCTCAAATCCATGAATCGAACCTTGGCAAACCCTTAAAATCCTCCCTTTCTTCCAGAACAGATGGAGGCCAGGTGGGCACTCCATCTTCGTTCAGCTTCCACTTCAACTGCACAGTGGTATCAGAAGAAAGGGTGAAACTTTTGCCTTGTTTGTCTATCTCTTCCCCTTCAAAAAATGCCAGCTCACGGATGGGGAAGTCAGGTTAGTGCTGCAATACCTTTCCGCAGATATCATTGTAGATTTTCGTTGTGGTATTCATTAAGGCGACGGCCATTGCATCTTGGAACATGTTAGACCTAACTAGCCACTTTGCCCTTTGAGCTCGTGCAATGCACACAGAACATTGATGAGACACCTTGGTCCTATTCAAGGCATCCTCAACTCGGGCGAAGTTCTGGAATCGTCACTTTAGGGAGTTCAGCTCGTTTCAAGCATCGTCCCTTTTAGCTTCTACCTTTTTGGCACGTTCCTTAACACAGCTGGCCTTATCCTTTGCTGCTTGGATCCCGCTTTCCCTCTCCGCTTGAGCCTTCTCTAGCTCTTCCTTTAGCGCGTTAACTTTGTTAGCCAACTCGTCAGCTTGACTCTCAGCTAACGCAACTATGTTGGCCATTTTGGAGCTCTGCAAGCGGCTGACCTCGTCTTCCAAACTCGCTTTCTTGGAAGTCAACTGTTTGCAGCTTTCAATGAGCTCGTAAGTTTGCTCGTGTGCTTCTTGCTCGCACTTGAATAGTGCGACCATGTAGTTGAACGCCCGACATACAACTTTAACTGTAATTTCTAACATAAAATTGAGAAAAGATGATAATACATGAAAATACTTACATCCATCAATTTGAGCATAGCCGCATGACCCCCATGCTACTGTATGTACCCCTTTGCATGTTGTCGATCTACAGGGGGAACGAAACTTTGCATACCCTATAACATTGTAGCCTAACAGTCAGTTTTGGTGTAATTGAAGCCTTCAAGGTATGTAATTCTTAGGCCCGATACAGATGCGGACGCTGGAACAGTCTCCACAACGTCACATGTCGCGGTAGGAGGCACGTTGGATGAGCGTACCATGGCGAGTTAAACGGGCTAAGCCCCAGAGCTTATTCTCCGCCGAATGAGTGGCACGCCATCCTTAGCATCTGAATCCTCATGAGCACGCCTTCGAGAATCCAAAGGCGTAGTTTCAATTCTCTACCCAATATGGGACCTCGATGTGGAGCTCGAACCTTTGTATGACGAGTTACAAGGCGGCAATGCTGGTCGTTCATCGAAGCATGTTTGCCTATGCTAGTTGCTCTCTCCCCGATGACCCCGTGAGCGTTGAGCTCGTTCACACCCAACACATTACTCATTTCTCCTGCACAAATAAATCTAATAAGACTCAAATCGGCTAGCTATCTCAATTTACAATAAAAATATACCTTCGATATATAGGTTTGCGACATCCACAAACCCAAACATCGCGAGCTGCTCAGGGGTAACCAAGGCCTCCAGGTCTACTAATCCTTCCACCTTTACATAATCTAATAGCCTATTCTTCAGATCCACATTGTCTGGCACCAATGTAGGATAATTCATGTAAGTTTGACCTGATCGCCACTCAGAAATACGATTAGCCAGCTCGTTACTTATTCTTTCCGTTTGCGTGTCACAAACAAAGATGAATTGCCTCTTCCAACGCGTGACCTTATTTCTTATGTTCTTGAAGAGCATCATCTTTTCTCTACCAGAAATATAATACCACCTCGTTTGGGTACTACTTAACCTACAGAGGAATAGCGACCTAAACACTATCGCTTTCACAGGTATCTCCAACCTCGTACACAACAGCATAAACCCAATAATAAATTTTATACTGGTAGGGGTTAATTGCATTAGTGCCAGCTCGTACTCTGCTAGTAAATCAAAAATCAACCCTAGCAACGAAAAACGTAGACCGGCGTCAAAATGGTCTACGTACACTGTTATCCATCCCGTTCGTGACATTGTACACGCTCTCTCATTTTTAGTGCCAGCTCATAATAAAATGGTTCTAGGGATTTGATATTGCTTCACCATCTCTTGCAATTTCTTATACCCCTTAACAGTGGTCGTGCCATTTACTACTTCATGGTGAAGTGCCACAGTGAATCTAAATCCGATAGGCATGTTTTGTGGTGCGCTACAGATGTTACTCAGCCTGCCGTTGACGATTTTATCCTCCCATTTTTCAAACACTAGCACATCCTCCTCAACATTTACCATCGAGGGGCTCCCAACACCTTCCTCTATACCCTCCCCATCGCTAGGAGTGCTTTCTGAGGATGAACCTTGGGAGGGTGAAGTAGAGTTACCACTTACGCTTGAATTGGTGCTACTCTCCGGCATAATGGTTTTCGCCAAATCCTATAGTTCTAGTGGCACTATCATGGTAATCGATGTTGACTCAATGTACTCTAAGAGGGGGGTGAATTGGAGTTCCAAAAATTCTCTCCTTTTGCAACCACAAAACCAAAATTAAAAAAAGTAGAGAAGAAGAGCTTACACAATGATTTTGTAGAGGTTCGATCCAACCACTTGGAACCTAGTCCTCTACCTCGTCTTCACTCACCAAGGATTTCCTCTACACTTTCCACTAAGAAAAACAATGGTGGCTTAAAGGAGCCACTCAATCCTTTTACAAGAAGAAGGGTGTTTCTCTCAAATCTCACCCCTTTACACTTAAACCCCAAGAATCCTTTGTACAAATCACTCTTGAAGGAATAATCACACCCTCAAGATTACTCATAAATAGAACAAGAAGAGGATTACAATCAAAGATCTCTTAAAAATCAAAAACTCAAGTTAAAGCACAAGTTGGTAGGTAAAGATATTCAATATAATGCTCTCCAAACTTGTTCTAGATCTGTTGCCAACCATATTTATAGCCCCTTGCTCAAAAATAGTTGTTTGTAGTCGTTGGGGGTCATTAAATGCTCTACAGGTCGCATAATTTGAGTTACAGAATTGTCAGCACAATCCGCTAACACTTCTAGAGCCGGCTCTGCACAGCCGACTTAACTTTTCTACAGCCGGCTTTGCGAGTTTCCTACATTCTGTTTTCTCCATAGAGTCAACTTAAAAATTCTGTAGTTGGCTTTGCGGGTTTCCTGCACATTTTGTTTTCTTACACAGCCGACTACAATGTCAAAAGCCAGCTTTGGGATTCCAACTTTAAAAACATTAAACAATCTTCACATGACTTGACTGTTGCGCATTAAATGCGCCCTCACAACTGGCTGCAAAGTCAAAGTCGGCTTTGCATCTGTTTTCCGCGCACATCAAACAATGGACTTCAAATTTTCACCCATAGAGCTAGCTCTAAAAGTTGCAGTTTGTTCTCTGCATTTCCCATAGCTGACTGCAAATTCCTTAAGCTGGCTCTCTACACATTTTCAGCATTTTTGGTTCTTTTTGGTGCAATCCAAGTTCACTTACTTTTGCAATCTTTTAGAAGTTTAACTACACACTTAAATGAACCTATTAGTCACTCAAATGTGTTTTGTGATCATCAAAATCATAGGTACAACAATCTCCCCCTTTTTGATGATGACAAAATACTTTGATAATAAATTAATGAAAGCACATATATATTTCAAAATATATGAGAGCTCATATAGAAACAGAGATTTTAGTGTCAAAATAGTCTAGAAAATGACAACAAATTCAGCATACTTTCTCCCCCTTTTTGTCATCCATCAAAAAGCATATAAACATAATCAACAAACTCCCCCTTAATTCATGCACATCAACCTTTAAAGCATAAAAAGAATAGAATTTAAGCAAGACATCCACAAATTGCTCCCCTTCAATGAAAGCGCTTAAGATCATAATCATCAAAATCATAGGCGACCATGAAGTCATATACAATTAAAATCCACAATTCATGATAATAAGCTAAGAAATGTGCATAAATAATGAGGGCAAATTTTGGGAAAGAATCAAATCTTGAATGTGAAGAGAGGAAAATGGCCAAATATTAAAAATCTATCACAATCAAGAGGCTTTGTAGTAAACAAAGATATCTCATTCCAAGCAACTATGAAGGTCAAAAGATTCTTTCTCTCCTTTTTGTTATCCAACAAAAAAGTTTGAAGACCATATGAAGAGCAAACAATAGAGCTCCCCCTTAATAAAATAACTCATGAAAGCATGAACATACTTATATAACAATATCATTAAAATCATACCAAGAATGTATAATCATCTATGATTTAAGTCATAAAGATCAATAAAAGATAAATGAAATGGCACAAATGTGATATGCACTCAAGATAAAGCAATATATATGTCCATCATACTCATAAAGAGTTTGACATCAATAGGTTTAACTCCATTATTGTTAGAGCAATTGAATACCTCAATGAGGAGATCATTTCTTGTGCTTCTCCTTTGTATGTTCCCTTTGATTGGTGAAGAACTCATCTTTGGGATAATTTCATTTGAAGTTCCAATACATTTAATCATCTCAAGTTTACTTGACATTACTTTGGATTTTTTTTTTCTTTTTTGCAACAAAACTCATTAGTAGCACAAAAAACAATATTAATTCCATCATTAAGTACAACATGTATATTTCTTACCCTTGAGATAAATTACCATTTATCACATTCCCTTTATAGGATCTCTCTTTTGGGTAGGATTATAACCTTTGTTTTTGTGCTTGTTGCATTTCCTTAATCTTGTTTTTCTCATTGCTTCACATGAAGGTTATGTGACGTTATTGTCTTTAATATTCATTCTTACCTTTGTTACCCAATAACATCTACATCACAATTTCACAACTTTTTCTAGAGCAAATGAGGTTAGTCTCATTGAATACCACATGAATAGATTCAACACTATTGCTCCTTTTTATATGCATCATATCATATGATAGCAACTATCAAAAATCTTATTCATTGAAATCAACTATGACTAGGCAAGCATTCAAGTGCATGACATACACTTGCACATAATCAAATATCATTAAAATCATCCATCAAAAAGCAAACATACAAATTTCCTAATATACTTAACTTCCAAATGTAAGACTCTTCCTAAGATCATGCTTAACTTCCAAGTGCTATCATTAAAATTATAAAAATAATGAGACAAGTAAATTTGAATGAGACAAACAATGTAAAGTAAGACAAGTTATTAAAATTACTCATTTAAATCAAATCATCAACCATCTTCAAAGTGACACATATGAAATTGAAAATCACTTATGCCATCAAGAGCTCATTATGAACTATATATGATAGATAATCAATCTAATCATTCACATATGTCAAGTATGTAAATATGATACAAGTAATATCTATAGCAATCAACAAGGTTGTATCAACACTAGAAAAGACATCAAATGAAATCATACTCAACAAGCATATGTATCAAAGAGTGAGCACACATAAACAAATAATTAATAGTCATGTTAATGTAATTATACTCAATAAATAAATGCAATAAGATAAATAATACCAATTGAGCACATGAGTGGAGCACTCAAAAACAAAATTTTCTTTGCACTTTCACTCCAATATTCTTGTTGAGGCAGAAGTCTTTATCAAGATCAACTTTGCTCTTCTTATGACTTCGCCATTAACTTTACCTACAAAACAAAATTAAGTTTTGATTTTTGGTACCCAAATTTGCTTGGGTCCATGGGGGTTAGAGCTTAAAGTTCCTTTTATAACCCAAATTTGCTTCACTTTGCCTTGAGCTATCAATCTCTTCAAAGAACAAGCATAAGCAAAGTGTCCCTTTGCACCACAACAATAGTAGGTGACTTTAGGATGAGATGATTGACTTGCTCTTATAAAGGAACTCTTAAAAGTCTTTTTCTTTTTAGAATAATCAAATCCAATGCCCCCTTTGTCATAAATACTTCTTTGAGATTTTAAGATAGAATCAATTTTTTCTTTACTCAAGGTAAATTTGGAAATCGCATTCTCAAGATCATAAGCTTTTCTCTTTAAATCCTCATTTTCCTTCTTTACAACTTCATTTTCCTTTAAATCCTCATTTTCCTTTTTCAAAGCATTATTAGATTCCTCATTCTTTAAAGAAGCAATATCACCATTTAAAGAAGCATTTTCTTTAACTAAAACCTCATTTTGTTTTGAAAGAGATTCAATCTCATTTTTAAGCAATGAAATGCTTTTAGTAATAGCAAGATTCTCATTCCCTAGTTTCGTGATATCATTTATAGAGCAATTAAGAACTTTGCATAACTCATCATAAGAATACCCCAAGGAACTTTCATTAATTGAACTAGAGAAGTTATAGTTTACCTCCTCATCATTGTAGTTATCCTTTTAAGCTATAAAGCAAGGATTGGACACATCATCTTCCAAGGAGCCTTCATTCCCGGATGAGCTACATTCATCATTGCTCCATGGGGCAACAAATGCTTTGTTTTTCTTGCCTTTCTTCAATTTGGGGCATTCAACTCTATAGTGTCTCATCTCATTGCACTCATAACATTTGATATGCTTTTTGCTTGGCTTTCCGCTATCATCATCATCACTACATATTCTTCCTCTAAAGTAGTGAAATTCCTTGTTTCTTCTAGAGGATTTCCCTTTGAGGCTCTTCTTCATATATTTTTTCACTTCTTTTGAAACCAATTTGGTGATGTCCTCTTCATGGCTAGACTCATCATCACTAGCATCATCTTCACTTTCTTCTTCTTCTTCTTCTTCTCAACTACTTCAACTCCATCATCAACTTGAACTGCTATCTCATATATCATCAATTTTCCAATGAGATCTTCAAGCTTGAGAGTGTTGAGATCCTTAGACTTTTCAATTGCGGTCTTTTTGGCTTCCCAATTCTTGGGCAAGCTTCTAAGAATCTTCCTCACCACTGATTAAGAAGGATAGACTTTGCCAAGAGCCTTGAGATTGGTGACTATATCATTCAATCTTGTATACATATCTTGAATGTTCTCTTTTAGTTTCATCTTGAAAAGCTTATACATGCAAATGAGTCTATGATTTTTGACTCCTTCACTTAGCTTGTTCCTTCATGTGTTACCTCTAACATGTCCCACATCTCCTTAGCCGTATCACACCCGGATACTCTATTATATTCCATTGGATTAAGAGAACATTGAAGCATGCTAATTGCTTTGTTGTTGATCATGATCTTCTCCAAGTCTTCATCATTCCATTCAACTTCTTCCTTTGGCACCTTACTTTCCCCAACTCCTTTCATAAGCACATATTGACCTTTCATAGTCACAATCCATGCCTTGGGCACATTTGCAAGCATGTAGACCTTTATCATATTCTTCCAATAATTATAATTAGTACCATCAAAGAAAAGAGGCTTGGTGGTAGACAAACCTTCAAGTGGTTGAAAAGCTTGCAATTGAGCCATCCCCGATCAACTCTTAGGTGGTTAAACCTTCAAATTTGAGCCCTTGCTCTGATACCAATTGTTGATTCAATGTACTCCAAGAGGGGGGGTGAGTTAAAGTTCCAAAAATTCTCCCCTTTTGCAACCACAAAACCAAAATTAAAGAGAGTAGAGAAGAAGAGCTTGCACAATGATTTTGTAGAGGTTCGATCCAACCACTTGGAAGCTAGTTCTCTACCTTGGCTTCACTCATCAAGGATTTCCTCCACACTCTCCACTAAGAAAAACAATGGTAGCTTAAAGGAGCCACTCAATCCTTTTACAAGAAGAATGGTGTTTTTCTCAAATCTCACCCCTTTACACTTAAACCCTAAGGATCCTTTCTATAAATCACTTTTGAAGGAATAATCACACCCCCAAGATCACTCATAAATAGAACAAGAAGAGGATTACAAGTAAAGATCTCTCAAAGATTAAAAACTCAAGTTAAAGCACAAGTTGGTCGGTAAAGATATTCAATATAATGCTCTCCAAACTTGTTCCAGATCTGTTACCAACTATATTTATAACCCCTTGCTCGAAAATAGTCGTTTCTAGCCATTGAGGGTCATTAAATGCTCTGCAGGTTGCATAATTCGAGTTGCAGAATTGTCAACACAATCGGCTTACACTTTTAGAGCCAGCTCTGCACAACTGACTAAACTTTTCTGCAGCCAGCTCTGTGGGTTTCCTGCATTCTGTTTTCTCCATAAAGCCAACTTAAAAATTTTGCAACCGGCTTTGCGGGTTTCTTGCACATTCTATTTTCTTACACAGCTGATTGCAATGTCTAAAGCTGGCTTTAGGATTTCAACTTTAAAAACATTAAACAATCTTCAAATGACTCGACTGTTGCGCATTAAATGCGCCCTTATAGCCAGTTGCAAAGTCAAAGTCGGCTTTGCATCTGTTTTCCACGTGTAAACAATTGACTTCAAATTTTCGCTCGTAGAGTCAGCTCTAAAAGTTGTAGCTTGCTCTCTGTATTTCCCACAGCCGGTTGCAAATTCTGTAACCCAGCTCTCTGCACATTTTCAACATTTTTGGTTCTTCTTAGTGCAATCCAAGTTCACTTCCTTTTCAATTTTTTAAAAGTTTAACTACATACTTAAATGAACCAATTAGTCACTCACATGTGTTTTGTAATCATCAAAATCATAGGTACAACAATTGACTCCATGGAGATGACACCCTCTTCTTCTTCCCTTCCTTAGTTACCCTGAAGCTTTTTGAGTTCTCTAAAAAAAGTCCATTTTGACCTGAATCTTTGGAGTATAATGTCCTTCTATGTCTAAGGCTTTGGAAATTTCACTTGAAAAACTTCAAGTGCTGTTGCTGTAGGAAATGACAAGAAATGGTGCAAAATGAAACTGCAAAATGGTTAAGTGATCGTTTCTGTTGCTTTTTCTCAAACAAATCACATAGCCTTAAATGTCGTACGCGTGTTTTTAACGTACCAGTTAAACACCCACACATGGTAGCAGTTTACCGATGGGCATGCAATATCCACCGGCTGTAGCTGTCACGTCCCCTCAAATGTTGAGCCAACATTTATTGCAGGGAAGGCAGAGGGATATCCGTTAGTAGAAGAATATTAATTACTCTGAACCATATCTGCCTAGAGATTTGCTTTGTTTTAAATTTGAAAAAATTGTGAAGGTTAAGATCGACACGATTTAGCTGTTTGAGATCATCATGATTTAGCTCGTCTATGCAACTGCGTAGTCGAGCTGGTCATATGCCGCCTCACTTATGACCCATATCTTACCAAGAAACTCTATCTCCTTCGAGACCTACTTCATCTTGAAGCTCATAAAGTCATTGTACGAGCTCGCGTTTTACAAGCTCGTCCAATTAACAAATACAGTCTAAGTTCGCTAAACAAGATCACACTAATATCAGGTCATTCTAAGACCAACTCGCCAGGTGCGAGCTCACTAAACAAGATTACATTAATATCAGGTCATTCTAAGACCAGATCTCTCAGTTGCAAGTCCCTTGAATGAGATAGCATTAATATAAGGTCGTTCTAAACTAGATCACCCAGGTGAAACCGTTTCCCCAAAAGGCTCCCTCGTCTAAGATTCGATTTAGATGCATCATGGGCCACACAAGTCTCACATTTGCGTTTGGACATGTGCTCTGTGTTGTAGTTTTTTGTATCTCAGCTACTAACCAGGTCGTTCATAAATGCAAAAGATTGCAAGCCCCATTCTCAAGGTTGAACATTGGGCCACGGGTGCAATTACCCCAGTTCGTCAACCGAACACTAAGGGGGGAGTAATGTTGGGAATGGGCCCAACATTCAACCTGGGCCATGTACAACAGGCCTAGTCATTTATCCATGAGCCCAAAATGAAGATGCATCTATGCACTAGCCCAGACACACCCACGTGGATGCTTATACGTGGACCAATCAGATGCTTATATGTATGAACCCATGTCATCACTCAGGGGCTATAAATACCCCTACCTATCTCCACTCAAGGTAATAACTCCATTACGCTTCTCTCTCTGCAATTACTCTTGAGAGCTTCTCTCTCTAGAATATTGAGTATTGTTGACTTGAGCATTATAGTGTTTTCCTTGAAGAAACATCTTTGGGTTTTTCAGGTGTTAAAGCAGTTGAAGATCTCTATAATGTAGGTTTGTGAAGCTACCCAAACACTAATAGAATAATGCTAAAAAGTTGTGTGTTTTATATTTTGACTTAGAATATGTCTAATATATATAAAGGGAGAAGAGAATTGGAAGAAAAGTATATACATATCATGATCGGTCGAGGTGCAAGAAGTGACTAAAAAGGAATACTATGGTGGAAGGATAACGTGAGAAAGAATAATAACAAATAAATTTTTAATATAGAGAGAAAGTAATCACAAATATATGTATATAGATAAATACAATGACAAAATATGTGAAGATAAGTTAGGAGATGGCATAGTAACAAAAATTAATGAAACATGGGGTATAGGTAAATGAAAAAGTATCAAGAGAATAATATGTTAAGTTATTTATGTTTTGATTTAAAAATTTCTAATATGAGCATCAAAAAAGATGAGACAAATGGAGGCAAAAAAAGAAATATATAATAGTAATAGATATAAATGCAAAAAAAAAAAAAGAAGTTTTGATTAATTATTTTATCATGTTTATTTTTAAATTTTTTATTTAATATAGAAGTCAAACATTTGTTTATATTAAATTAACATGCATTTGAAATGATTTTTGTATTTATTAATTAAAAATTAATTTTAATTATGAATCATTATTACTATATTTGATAATTATAAAAATGATATAATATACATGTAGTTTTAAAGCCTAGTTAAATTATTAAAGCCATACAATAAATGATATATTTATTGTAAATAATTAATTATTATATTTAAAAATATCAATATATATATAGATTTTTCTTATATTAAATAATAAATATTATTTATTTATTATTTATCAATTAACAAATATAATTAAATTATTTTAATAATTAAATTAAATTAAAGCAATATTTTAAAGTATAATCTCTAAAACTTTGACTGACGCTAATATTTTGACATTTGAGCGTTCCTATACCCAACATTAACCCGCCAAGGTCCTCGCGTACGAATAGAAAATAGGATGGAAGAAAAAGATCAATCATCAATGTGTGGCGTGCTCCCTAAATGAAAGCATTTCTCCATTTTCATTTTTTTTTTAATTTAGGCAGAAGATGCAATTCAGCCCCTCTACTTTTATTTTTATGGCATATCAACCCCTCTACTTGAAAGTAGTGCGAGTCAGCCCCTTTACTTGACAAAACAAAACCCACGAATCAGCTCTTCTGCTGAGGATGACGTCATCAAATGTCATCTTTCCATCTTCATCCTTGCTCCTCTGTTGCCGAGAAATGACTTGGTGCTGATATGACATTGCTGATATGACATTGGGTGAGTGATATGAGCAATTTAAATTATAAAAATGATTAAAGAGTCTTTCTTTTATTCCTTTTATTCCATCCATCATCTCTATTTTCCTTTATATTCTCTCTTTTCCTATTACAAATTTACTTTTTTTTTTCAAAAATTTAAGTTGAAATTTTCTTTACATGAGTCTAAATCTAAAAAAAAAAAAAAATTCTTAAAATATGAAATTATAAAATTTAAAAAAAAATTTAAAATTAAAATTAAAATTTATGGTTTTGTTGACACCGAGTAATTTGTTGATTGAATATTCATTTTTAATAATCCAAAATATACTTAATTTTATTTTAAATAAAAATATATGTAATATTTATTTTTAAAAAAATATCTCAAAAATAAATTTATATATTTTTTACTAAAATCACAAATTTAAAAAAATAAAAAATTTTGGATTCATATATGCCTTTTGCTACTAAGGTAATATCTCAGTACAAATAAAAAATCTTCTATAATAAAGGGGCACATGGTTAAATATCTTTTTTGATTTTTTTATTGTAAAAAAAGTATTTTTTACTTTTTATACTGATAATTTCATTTTTTTATCCATAAAATTTAAAATTTGACTCTTTTTTAATTTCTCTGTTAAATTTTAGCTTATATAACATGAAAAATTCATTTTTTTTATTTACTTAAATTAGTTTAAAATATCCATATAGTAAAAGTTAATAATATGGTCAAATTTTTTATCTAATATAACTTTAAAAATTATTTAATTACATAATTATCATTATAAATATTTTCAAGATTATTTTATAATTACTTGTTTACCCCTATCTTCTTCTATTTCCTTGCTTTTTATTTTATTTTATTTTATTTATTTATTTATTTATAACCTTTGCTCGGTTCGTTGCGAACCCAAGTGAGATTAATCATTAGTGTCTGCCCATTGCCAAATGTCGCAAGAAAAGCTATGTTGACGAAATTATAGTTGCCGGTGGCACAAGTGTCTGCTAAGGTACCTTCGTTCCCGTTCTGTCCCCGGTAGATAGGAATCCCTCCGACATCAGCTTCGGAAAAGAAAAAAGGGGCAATTAAGCAAGAGAAAGCTAATATTGCTGTTGATTTTAATGCCATCATCCTGAATCCCGGAAGCTATTGTTCTTGGTGATTTTGTTTACAAGGTCCCATAGAAACATGGTTTTTATAGGGAAGAAGGTTAGGTGCGGTTTTTTTTTTTTTTTTTTTTTTTGGTAAAAAGAGGAAATATATTAAAAGGATAACAGTAACACATGCGGGGAAATTAAATGCCCATAATGCCAGCAATACAATACAGTTTGACAGTGGGCGGAATGCCGTCAAAAACAACAAAATCATGGTGTAATTGCACCAAACCTGAAGTCCTTCTTTTGTCCGCGCTTACACTCCGAGACGACCTGCAAAGCCCCGAGGTGGAACTCGGGGTAGACACTCCGATGCTTAAGTCAGCAATAATCGGGGCTACCTTTAAGGCGGAGATAAAAAGAGTTTAGGGTTGGTTTCAATCACCTTTTTGACGTGGCCCGGGGGGTATTTATAGGATCCAATGAGGAACCCACGTGTCATGCCAAGCAAGATAATCGGAGCCTGACGTGTTCATCCAGACGATAATTCCGGGACCGGGAATATGAGAGGTACTCAGATGCACAAGCGTCCACCATACTTGCT